CAGTGTACAATTTCATTTTGTTTTACATCCTTGTGACTTTTTGATGCACCGCTACATCATTGCTCAAGCATGCAGAAGGAGATGGCAGAATAGACAACCTTGTGCACATTTGCCTGCCGAAAAGGAGCTGAAATGGTGAGGTGCCATTAGCAGCGTGAGGAGTAGCACGGTACACCTGGAGAATACTCCATACTGAATATGGGGGACAGTAACGAAATCACAGAATCTGTAGTGATGGTATATGTAATAGCATATGAGGTGCAGCGTTTTTTTAATGGCCCAACTATATCCACAGCTACCTTCTGCCATGGTCCATTTGGAATCGGTACAGGCTGAAGAGGTGCAGGCTATGACTTTACAGTTTTGTCATTGAATTGGCAAACAAGGCAAGAACACAGCATCATAAACCTGAGCATCCATCCCTGGCCACCAGTGAAGATCACGGAGGCGCTGCTTGGTTCTCGTCTCCCCTTGGTGACCTTTGTGTGCTATGGAGACAAGTGTCGTGCGAAGAGCAACAGGTGCAGTTAACTGTAACCCCTGGAAAACAAAGTTGTTCTTGACAGTCATTTCCAATCGCAGCTGATAGTGCGGCAACAGCTCAGTATTCAGTCCCTTGCTTGAAAGAGGCCAGCCCTTCTGGCTCTGTAATCACAGTTTGGTCAGTGTAGGACATGTAGTTTAATCTGTAATCACAGTTTGGTCAGTGTAGGACATGTAGCACATGCATCATCAATATTTGCAGCAGATATGGAGTTAAAGGGGGTAGATAGAAAAGCAACAAAATCTTCGACTACATCGTCCTCATGATAAAAGAAAACAGCATTGTCTGTAGATGGAGCAGGCATGGGCACACATGACAGATAATCAGCCAGAGCATTTTGTGAACCTGGACGGTATAAAATATCATAATTAAATGACATCAGACATGCAGACCACCTTGCTACACGAAGTCCAGCTTTGGCAACACCTTTAGTTGTAAGCAGCATTGTCAGAGCCTGGTGATCTTTCCATAAAGTAAAGCGTACTTTCGCTCAGCAGCAGACAAAGTGCGCGATGCGAATGCTACAGTACGTTCAATCCCATGTGAACTGACTTGAGATAGAATAGCACCCAGACCATAATCAGAAGCATCTGTGGAGACAATGGTGTGCAAACTGGGGTCAAATAATACTAAGGAAGGGCTGTTTGCCATCAGCTGCTTAACCTTGGTCTAGCTTAGTTCAGCTTCATCTGACCAGCTGAATCCACTTGGAGCTTGTAGACATACTCATACTGGAGCAACAACAGAGGCAAAATCGGGTATAAATTTACATTATCATGGCAAAAGTCCCAGAAAGGAGGGCAAAGTAGAAGCATCTGAAGGTGCAGGTGCATTGAGTAGTGCCTGCACTCGTGACGAAGGCCCTTAGCCAACATTGTATGCTCTAGAAACAGTGGGCTGGTTTGTCAGAAACAACATTTGTCTTTATTTAGTTTCAGGCCAGCAGCCTCTAGGCGTTGTAGGGCTGCTTGCAGTGTTTTATCATGAGAAGGCATGTCACGTCTGTGTATAATAATGTCATCCAAAAACCTATCGACCCCTGATAAGCCAGCCAGAATTTTTGTCATCATTTTTGGAACGCTGCAGGTGCTGGTGCTAATCCATAGGGAATAAGGCTAAATCTGTACAGTCCATCATGATTAATAAAGGCAGTGACATTGTGACTCTCTTCATGCAGCAGTACTTGATAGTAAGTATTAGTCAAGTCAATAGTAGTAAAAATAGTAGAACCCTTAAGAGCAGTGAACAATTCCTCCATACGTGGCAATGGAAATAAGTCAACAATTACTGCCTTGTCCTCTGAGATCCACACACATCCTGTTTTTTCCCGACTTTTTCTGTGTAACAACGATTGGTTAGACCCATGCAGAAGCATCAATACGTTCCATCACCCCAACTACTTGTTAGCGATTTAACTCCTCTGACACAGCACTGCGCACAGAGAATGGCAACTGACGAAGCTTGTAACGCACAGGTGTAACCATTTCATCCAGCTTTACGCAGTGTACAAAGTTTCTAGCACATCCGAAATCTGTTAAATCCACAACTGTGCATTGAAACACTGGCACTGGAGATGTAATGTCAGGAATGGCATTAAAAGGCAGCGCTTGATTATTCTCAATCCTCACATGCAGTGCAGACATGAGGTTCCTTCCCATCAGTGGTGTGCCTTTTTCCACAATATAACAAATAGCCGAAACTCTATGGTCTTGTAACGAAACATTTGCTGAAAAGCACCCAATTACTGGAATGTGAGCTTTTGAGTGAGTCACAAGCTTAGCTGTTGGCTGTAACAGTGGCACATGACTGAAATGGCATGCATAAGTGCTGTGAGGCAAGATGGATACAGAAGACCCGGTGTCAACTACCAAGTTCACCACACAGGTATGAACAGCAGAAGTGGATATAGCTAATATACTCATAATGCTTGGTGAATGATCTGAATTTTTAGTGTACAGGATTGTAACTTCTGGTAATTCAATTTCTTAAACCTCTCGTGTATTTGTCTGAATGGATCTGCACACTTTAGCATTATGTCCAGTCTTTTTGCACTTTCTGCATGTTGGAGCTGCAGCAGGACAGTTCAGCATTAGCTAAATGGGTCTCTGAGCTACAGCGAAAAAAGGACCTTTTTTTCCCATTACATCATTAGAAGATGTATGTGACAATCTTCCTGTCCTGCGCTTTATTACAGGCTGCACTGCTTGAATGGGGGCGGTAACTTGATGGGGATTTAAAATGTATTTAACCTGATCAGCCGCAGATTTAATCTGACTTGCTATTGTGACAGCTTTGTCCAATGTAAGATCTGTTTTAAGTAAAAGGCTCTTGCATATGCGTGGGCTGAGCACAATTTCCACTAACTGTCTCGTATCCTTTCATCAGCACAGGCATCGAATTCAACCAACACATTGAGTTCTCGCAAAGCAGTAACGTATTGCATGGCAGTCTCATGAGGCGCCTGTCAATGTCTTTGGAAGGCGTGACATTCCGCTACTATGTTGGCTTTTGGCACAAAATACCCTGTTAGTGCACTCTCTGCATATTTTATGTCATACCTATGTTAGGCAATGAGTAGAAAATTCGCTGTCCTTCTGTGCCGAGGCAATGAAGCAGTACAGCTCTCCTTCTGTCATCCGGCAATGCGTCCCCCGTCGCATCGATGACCCGTAGGTAATTCTCAAATATCTGCTGCCATGTAGTGAACGGCATAGCAGACTCGGTGGGACAAGTTAGAAAAAACTTGGGAAAGGCACATTGTTAACAGCGGTCTTCGTGACCAAAATAGCAGAAAACTAAGCGTAATCCTCGTCGCCAATTTGTGATATTCTTACAGCAATAAATCAGACGAGACAGGAATTGCGGCGTTCAACATTCTCTTTACTTCACTTACTACTCGCTTCACTTCTGTTTTCCAACCTTTACATAAAAGTTTCTTATTTCAACATAAGTCACAGTGCTAAATTACATGTGACACACAACACTGCACAAACTGCTGTTGTTGTCAAAGTATCATTATCTAGATGTTTTTATCAGCCAATTAAAACTAACTATATTACATTAGCCCTCTGATGCAATGGTATAGGCAGTATACTACTGTATTGTTTGTCTGTTCATAATTTCAAGATACTTTAGTGTCTGCTTTGGTCTCTTTGGTGAGAGCTATTGTAGCTACTGTACGTCTCTAAATGTGTAGTTAGCCAAATTAGCAATTGTGTTCATATGTGTTAGCCACCATGGTCTATCTTAGCCCATGTTTGGCAGGTTAGTGGGTATTTTAAACCCTCTCTGTCAACTCTAAACTTTCTGTGAAACTGACCGAAATTAGTTTCTGCAGCAGGCCACAAGGTAGGTTCGTAACAGGAAACCACTGCAGCAGAAATGAGCTGTGTTGAAAATAAGTATTGACCCTAGAATGTGAATTTTCTTTAGACTCTCTGACTGCATAGAATTTATAATCCAACATTATTATACAGTATATGTATGTAAACTATTCAATTATATTATAATTATTATAATAATAACAGTAATTATTATTATTATATGGCTATATTTTATCAGTATAAACGAGTGTACCCCTCACCGCTTTTTTAAATTAATATATTTTATAGGATGCTTTACAAAAATATATGTGCACATACGTTCGATTAGCCAGTCCCTAAAATTAGAACTAATCTAACAATAAAACAAAACAAAAAAACTAAGATCAAAGTCCAAAAATGTGTACTAATTATATGTTTGGGAAAAAAATAATAAATAGAATTATAATAAATAGGAAAAATCAAGGCAATAATAAAAATATGTAAAATTTAGTTGAAATTATTTTATTTTTGTAATATCTAATTTTAATTTAAATGTATTATCTGTCAATTCCAAAAGATGATTTGTTTAAATGCACAAAATTTATGCTGACCACTGTGTGTGCGTGTATATATATATATATATATATATATATATATATATATATATATATGTGGCATAACCAAGGGGTTCAATAATGTTCAACAGCTAGCACGACTACGCCACCCTGGAATATGGCCAGGGACCTATATTTTATATTATAAAAGGCAACACAGGTAAGCTTGCAGTAAATGGCAAGAGACGTGGATTGGAAAAAATACATACAAACTTTATTTTTTTTTTTAAAATGCATCAAAAAGGGGGACAATGTATATACCGTTTAAATTCAATAAAACCCATCTACTAAAAATACACTACACGCACACACTAAAACACCTGGATTTAGGAGTGCAGGAGCTGAGACGTGACAGCAGAGAATAAGGGCACAACAAGGCCTCCACAGCAAGACCACCAAGACCTGTGACACAACAAGGCCTCCACAGCAAGACCTGTGACACACACACACACACACACACACACACACACACACACACACACACACACACACACACACACACACACACACACACACACACACACACACACACACGCACACACACACGCACACACACACACACAGCGCATACACACAGCACACGTGCAAGAAAGACCTCCACCAGAAATCCACCCTGCCTTAGGTGCTCTGCTACTGAAAACACAAAATCCAGTTACTACAAAGTTTTAATAAACTGGTCACTGACACTCTAACACACAATCACTTGGGCGCACAACACACTGCAATGCTAATGGATTACAACCCCTCTTAATGAACCCTCTGCTGAAGAAGCAACCCAAAACTACAAAATATAAGAGGAAGGCACAAGGGTTAAACAGTCTTGAATATACATACAAAAAGACTGTTACAAAAAAACAAATACAATTTCAATAAAGCATACAAAAAAACAATGTAACAGAAAGAAATCACATTAGAAAATACTAATTTCAAGGAAACCAACACAAAAGTAAAAAAATATATATATCTAACAAAACTAGGCGAAATTACCCAAATAAAAGAAAAAAGAACACAAGGACCATTCAAATCGGTCAACCACAACCTTCAAATATACGGTCCTAGCACTGAATGTGTAGGGAAACTGATGTTTACTACATTAAAACAGCATCATCCCCCAAAAATTCTTAAACAGCATCAAAGCAGCAGTTAAACAGCAAAGCAGCAGTTAAGCCGCGGTTAAGCAGCAGTTAAGCCGTGGTTAAGCAGCAGCGTCGTTTAGAAACCTCCCACGTAGCTAGAGGTTGTCATACGGCACCCAGCAATCATTTTCGGTCTGTAACATGGTAAGGGGATTTAAGTTAGACTGAGTGCATGAGCAAGCTAATCCAAAGATTTTAAAATCACTTACCGCACCACTCAATTTCGTCTAATCAAGAGCATTAGAACGCCAACACAGAGGAAAACGGGCTCAATCAATCATTAATAAGTCCTAAACATATTCGTTGGGTTAAACGTAGTTTTGTAACGCAGTGAAACGAACTGCTGACTGCAAGGGAGGAGGAAACAAATAATGATCACTTTACTACAATCAACTTTCCATCCAAAAAGCAACGAGCAAACGTAGCCAGTTACCTGCAGAAGAGCAGCCGTAGATGCAGACCAACACCGTGATCCAGATAAGACGCAACACTAGACAAACATACAAAACATGAGCTTTCCCAATGAAGCAACCCGTACACAGGCGAGCTGTCATCCACATACCTGCCGGCGAGTGACTGAAAGCGGGAAGTGACCAGTCGGAAGGGGCGGGACTCGTGACACATACCATCCTGGTTGTCATTTTATATCTTCCCCCACTGATTACTAATAGGGTAGGGGGTATGCCACCCGCAAACACAGAGGGGCGGCGCTTGTCTGGCCACATAAATATATATATATATATATATATATATATATATATATATATATATATATATATATATATATATATATATATATATATATACAGTCACTGGCCACTTTATTAGATACACCTTATTAGTACTGGGTTGAACCCATTTTACCTTCTGAACTGCCTTAATCTTTTGTGGGACAGATTTAACAAGGAACTGGAAACTTGATTCAGAGATTTTCGTCCATTTCGACATGATAGCATCACACAGTTCCTGCATATTTGTCAGCTGCACATCCATGATGTGAATCTCCTGTGCTACCACATCTAAAAGGTGCTCTATTGGATTGAGATCTGGTGACTGTGGAGACCATTTACAGTGAACTCATTGTCATGTTCAAGAAACCAGTCTGAGATGATTCACGCTTTGACATGGAGCGTTATCCTACTAGAAGTAGCCATCAGAAGATTTGTACACTGTGGTCATTAAGGGATGGACATGGTCAGCAACAATGCTCAGGTAGGCTGTGGTGCTGACATGATGCTCATTTGTTACTAATAGGACCAAAGTGTGCCAAGAAAATATCCCCCACATCATTATACCACCACCACCAGCCTGAACTGTTGATACAAGAAAGGATGAACCCATGCTTTCATGTTGTTGATGTCAAATTCTGACCCCACCATCCAAATGTCACAGCAGAAATCGAGACTCATCAGATCAGGCAACGTTTTTCCAATCTTCTATTGTCCAATTTTGGTGAACCTGTGCGAATTGTAGCCTCAGTTTCCTGTTCTTAGCTGACAGGAGTGCCACCCAGTGTGGTCTTCTGCTGCTGTAGCTCATCCACCTCAAGGTTGGACGTGTTGTGCGTTCAGAGATGCTCTTCTGCATACATGTATGGAACAAAATCAATGCCTAAAGTCTTGAATTAAAAAGCTTGTTGAATATCACAAACTGAAAAAAATAATACAGCGTATTAACAAGTTCTTGCATTTTAATGACTTGAATTCCAGGGTCTGTATTTTTAGGTCCTGAAATTTAACATATCTGTTTATTTAAGCTGTGAATATTTCAACGAAAAATATTTCAAACACGTTTTCAAACTTAAAAATTCAATAATTCATATTCAATTTTCAGATTTCACTTAAAATATATTCAATACCCTTTAAAAATACGATGTATAATATTCAAAAGGTCATTTTCAGTTCATTTTATTTCAGTTCTAATATTCGCTTCCATAAACTCAGTGGATCAAATTCGACTGATAAAATTCAACATTACATCCGGGAACTGCAGGAGAAGCAATAGATTGCAGAGTGAAGATCGCCAGCTGCTCTAGCTTTCACCAGCAGGTGGAGATGGAATAATGTAAGATTTTTAACCCAGTAAACAGGCGAGAAAAAGGCTAATAAAGGCAAAAAAGTAGCATTCAATTTTAATATCAATACCTTGGACATTATAAATAATAAAAAGTATGAGTAAAATAAGTAAATGAGGTTTTAGTCATCTATATTTGCCCTTATGTAACGGAAGCCAGCTGGTGATCGCGTAAAGCTCACTCCTCGGATCCAGGGACAGACGTTGTTCTGCAATCTTATCGGAGCTTGTCTCCCATGCTGGCTCGTTACCTGCTCGGACCGGTGCGGTTACTTGCACATAAACCGTCTTTTGATGAATATGATGTTACACATTGTCTATCTTTATTGACTCTTTCTTCCATAGACGCTAAGTATTATATTGACAGCTAAAGAATATAAACGTAAGAGAAACAGGAGAGGAAATCTTATAATAATAATACAAAATAGATCAACATTGACAGGGCTAAGAACAATTACGAACAAAGATTTTCAAAACCAGGGAGATTTTATGAGAATGTCACAAAACAGTTTACTTGGAAATGTTAAACAGAGTTCAGGTATGATTTAAGGTTGGGGCGTCTGATTTAAAATAATTTAACGTGCGAATGCATTAAGGAGCGTCTTCAGTTATTCACACAGAACCGTCTAATATGGCATAACTATAAGGGGTAATGTTTGCGCTGTTTAAACGCAGCTATGTCAGGATTGGGATAGGTTATACATTTTCATCATTTAAATTATTATTATGATTGTTAATATTATTATTGTATGACATTTATTTGGGCTATTGCGCTTAAATAAGTCATCCGTGATTCTAAATTAATATTTCTATTTATCCTTTTTATCACTCTGTCTGTCTTTCTCTTCTTTTTTCAAATTTTTGGGGTTTTGCCATGGTTAAACGTTTGCAAAATGTCTTAGTTTGTCCAGATTCTTGTTTTATTGTTATGTAGCCTATAGGCGAGAAAAAGGTATTAACGCAAAAGTGGCAATGTCGCAGCCAATGATAAGTAATAAAATGAGTCGCCTGTGGTTTGATAATAGGCAGTTATAACTGACTTTAATTTGTTTTCAGTATTAAATGAGAAAACCATTATTTATAACTTTTCAGCAACTGTTTGTATTTTATGATTAGCAATGTTGATCTTTTTTGCAGTTATTAAACATATAAACTTATTTAAACTGGTTTAAATTTAATATAGTTGTCACTTCAGCTAGTTTCATAAGATTATGTTTAGAATGCGTGGTTTGACATGCGTGGTTGAGGGGTTTCTGCAAAGCAGCTCAATGTTCATCCTCATGGGGTATTACTGAGCTTTAATCGCCATCTGGAGAGAATGTATTTGCTCATTTATTCTATTAACTCTTTTCTGCAAGTCTGTTTTATGATTTCACAAAGTCAAACCATTATGTTTTTATTTTATATTTTGAGATGATCATATTTAAATAAACAATTGCTAGGGTAGCTAATAGTTTCTTTTTTCTTGTTTTTTTAAAAAAATCAGTAGCCTATAAAATCATAATTTTTGCTTGACAAAGTTATTGGTTTAGGATTCTGGATGCATTTTTGCTGTTTTGGAAACTCATAAGCTCACACTAATCAATTATATTATCAGAAATGACAGATATAAGAAATCCATTAATATTCATCACTCTTTTTACAATTATACAAGCAATTTCTCGCCGACATCAGCTCCACTTTCGAAAATGGTAAACAGCGAGGTGTTATTCATATAAGCCCAAGCATGACATATGTCATGATTAATATAATAATTGAAACACTCTTGTAGGCTATTCTTATGCTTGGCCAAATGTCATGACTTTCACTTTCATTTTACATTATTATGCACAAGCCCAGATATCATCTGAAACTTTGGAAGAATTCCTATCATATATTGGCAGCCATCCAGCATCTCTTAATCAGTTTGATATGCGGCGCTGGCTCTGACCGGCCACCGGAGCTCGCGGCCACTCGTTCGACTTTGTCGTGAGCAAGCCGCACCGCACATGCATAAAAAACGTCAATCATTTCATTCATTCATCAATTCATTCATTTTCCTTTTGCTTCGTCTCTATTTTAGAGGAAAAGCGATAATCTGGACAAACTAAAGACATTTTGCAAACGTTTAACCGTGGCAGAACCCCAAAAATTCGAAATAAAAGAAGAGAAAGACGACAAAGTGATAGCTAAAAAGGATACATAGAAATATTAATTTAGAATCACGGATGACTTATTTAAGCGCAATAGCCCAAATACATGTCATAAAATAATAATAATAACAATCATAATTTAAATAATGAAATTATAACCTATCCCAATCCTGACATAGCTGCGTTTAAATAATAACTGAAGACGCTCTTTTAATGCATCGCATGTGAAATTATTTTAAATCAGACGCCCCATCCATAACCAACCTTAAATCATACCTGAACTCTGTTTTGTGTGACATTCTCATAAAATCTCTCTGGTTTTGAAAATCTTTGTTCGTAATTGTTCTTAGCCCTGTCAATGTTGATCTATTTTGTATTATTATTATAAGATTTCCTCTCCTGTTTCTCTTACGTTTATATTCTTTAGCTGTCAATATAATACTTAGCGTCTATGGAAGAAAGAGTCAATAAAGATAGACAATGTGTAACATCATATTCATCAAAAGACGATTTATGTGCAAGTAACCGCACCGGTCCGAGCAGGTAACGAGCCAGCATGGGAGACAAGCTCCGATAAGATTGCAGAACAACGTCTGTCGCTGGATCCGAGGAGTGAGCTTTACGCGATCACCAGCTGGCTTCCGTTACATAAGGGCAAATATAGATGACTAAAACCTCATTTACTCATTTTTCTCATACTTTTTATTATTTATAATGTCCAAGGTATTGATATTAAAATTGAATGCTACTTTTTTGCCTTTATTAGCCTTTTTCTCGCCTGTTTACTGGGTTAAAAATCTTACATTATTCCATCTCCACTTGCTGGTGAAAGCTAGAGCAGCTGGCGATCTTCACTCTGCAATCTATTGCTTCTCCTGCAGTTCCCGGATGTAATGTTGAATTTATGGAAGCGAATATTAGAACTGAAATAAAATGAACTGAAAATGACCTTTTGAATATTATACATCGTATTTTTAAAGGGTATTGAATATTTTTTAAGTGAAATCTGAAAATTGAATATGAATTATTGAATTTTAAGTTTGAAAACGTGTTTGAAATATTTTTCGTTGAAATATTCACAGCTTAAATAAACAGATATGTTAAATTTCAAGACCTAAAAATACAAATCCTGGAATTCAAGTCATTAAAATCCAAGAACTTGTTAATACGCTGTATTATTTTTTTTCAGTTTGTGATATTCAACAAGCTTTTTAATTCAAGACTTTAGGCATTGATTTTGTTCCATATACATCTATATCGTGTAGTTATTTCAGCTGGAACCAGTCTGGCCATTCTTCTCTGACCTTGTACTTCAAGAACTGCCACACATGCCCACAGAACTGCCGCTTACTGGATATGTTCTCCGTTTTTGGTACATTCTCTGTAAACTCTGTGCGTGAAAATCCCAGTAGATCAGCAGTTTCTGAAATACCCAGACCAGACCATCTGGTGCCAATCATCATGGCACGTTCAAAGTCT